TCTAGCTCCTCCCGTGAGGCCAGTTGCTGGGCATGGCCTCTCTAAATCTGTGGCCACAATTGCTCAGGAAGCTTTGCTCGGAGGGAGAGCTTCTCAGGGTATATACAGAATGTTTAGTATCAAATATTGCACGTGCCACTCAAGACTTACTTAAGCAAAACAAAGCTGACATTTGATTTGGAGCAGATGAAAACCCATTTACTTTGGAATAAAAAGGAATAATTTAGTGTGAACATTATGGGTTGTTTCATTTAATCAATGACTAACAACCAGCTGTGGTGCCTTGTGTTGGGTGTCTTATGGACTGGGGACACTGTTGACAATGGTTATTTAATGTTGCTAAGTGCTAAAGTTGAGCCTATTGAAAATGCAGGAGGCTGAATGTACTTGAGGACAGGGGGATATTTATTTGATATTTCTGTAATTTCAAGTTTTGCAGTGACCATAAAACACTTTAACAATAATGTTTTTTTTTTCAGGGGCTGGCTCAGCAGGTAAAGGTGTTTTCCATGAGCCTGGTAACTTCCGCAGTGGAAGAAGACTAACTTTCCCAAGCTGTCCTCCAACCTACACACCTGTGCCATGGTGTGCACCCTTCACAAATAAAAGCACATAAAATAATTCTTTAATAAGAAGCCACTGTGTAAGCAAAGCAGGTAACAGAAACAACGAAACACAAACAGACAAACAAGTGGGTGTATCTCAAAGGAGGAGTGGTATGGAAGAGCACTCCGGCAGAGAGCAGGGGCAGCCCCCCCCCCCCCCGGGACGTCCAGGTGACACAGTGTGGCTGTAGTGTCAATCTCCTGCACATATGCTGGATGTGATGGGCTAGGTAGGAATGGAGAGTTTTCTGCTCTGTGTGAGCTGAAGAGAGGCAGAGGCTTGAAGAGAAGGGAAGACTCTGTCCTCATCTCCACAGACGTGTCTGCTCCTTTCTGGCATCTGAAACTCTGTCCCCCATTTTTGTCCATGTGTAAATGTGCAAACATTCTTGAACTTTGACCTAACTGATTCCTTCTCTAAAAGCACACCTGGAATCCAGAAGCCAAATTAATTGCTCCTCCTACATCATCCTATAGGTTTTTTTTTTTTTTTGTTTGTTTGTTTGTTTTATTGTCACTCACCATCCTGGATTACACAGCCTTTGTCTCTGAACATCTCAAGATGGGGACAAGTTATATCCCTTAACACCCAGCCCACTTCCCAAGACATTATACTAGAAAAAGGTGCAGAACGAATGAGTGTGACACCAACAAGCAAGATTGGGGTGTGAGCTAGGTGTTCCTGGTTCTAGGGCATAAACCGGGTACAGCTTTCACAGGGAGGCTTGAGCAGAGTCTCAGAAAGTTCTGGAGCTGTCTGAGGGATAATCTGGTGCAAGGTGCACATATATTCACACAGTGCAGCCAGGGAACTACAGCTGGTTTGAAAGCATGGAGTGAAGGGTGGAGAGACGTGACTGGTGAGGCTGAGATGTGTACTTCTCAGAGTACCAGACTCAAGAGGCCATGGGGATCCACTGAAGGGCTGTACAACGGGGGGGGGGGCAGACCCAGGCTTTACAAAGGCCTAGTGTGAAAAATGAGAATTAAAGTTTTTAAAAGATTGACTTTGTTTATGTGTGTATGTCTATGTGAGTATATGCTGTGTGTATATACCTACAGAGACCAGAAGAGGGCGATAGACATGGATGCAGCGAACAGAATCCTGGCCCTCTGCAAGAGGAGCAAGTGTTCTTAACCACATGAGCCATCTCTGAAAACCAAGATTTTTACTAAGTGCTTATTATGTTTCCAATTCAGCACCAGTTGCTTTACAAGGTACAGGCTGGCTTTGACTCACCACACTGTGACTTTAGAAGCAGTGCTCCTAACCCACAGCCTGAGGTAAGGAGAGGATGAGGGACTGGTGCAGAAATTCAGATGAGCAAGCAGCAGCATGCCGAGTCTGTGGTGTTAGGCAGTGGGGCTGAGAAGCACAGAGGTGGGGAGGTGGCTCATCAGCTAAGGAGACTTGGTGCTTTCCAGGAGGCCTTGGGTTGGGTTCTCAGCACTCACGCACACAGTGATTTGTGTCATTCATGACTCCAGTTCCAGCGGAACTGACGTCCTCTTCTGACCTCCGAGGGCACCGGGAAAGCACATGGTAAACATTCACATATGGGGGTCCAACACTCGTACACATAAAACAAAATGCCTAAATCTAAAATCGTAATTAAAAAAGGAACAAAGAGAAGAGCCTTAGGATCGGAAGGCCGATATGGCTCTGGGGGAATGGAAATGTGGGGGGAGGGTCGATGTCTTTCACTCTTCTGGCTCATCCATCGGGGCAGGAGCAAGGCAGGGCATCCTAACGCTAATACCAGAAGCTCTTTCCCGTTGCTTTCACCAACTCCACACCTTTTCAAGAAAAGCTTGAGCTCTCAGAGAGCCTGAAACAATACTTGTAAATTGCTCTATTTAAACGCCACACGAGCAGCAGGATGCAGATTTCATTATGGAATGCAATTTCCCATTTGTTGGTAGTTCCAATATTGGAGCAAACTGAATCTGATGAAATAATAAACATATCCTATGAATGCAAAAGGTAGGATTTTCAAAATTTTCTGTCTAAAAAAAATAGACTTTTCAATTTCTCATTTGGTTGAATAGAGGGGTTGTTAAGTTCATTACTAATGGTGTTATTTTTGGCCGTGTGCTTTTAGAGCTGAGTACTTGTCATGCAGGCGACTTCAGTTCTTGCCAGAACAGGACAGTGATGAGAACCCGGTATCCAGGGCAACCAAGAGTTCAGACTTCTCAGTCCATAAATAATCATTCCTCAGCTTGCCCTCTGTACTGCCGGTCTCTGAGCCACTCCCTGACAAAATAAGCTCCATCCAGAGGCCACTGCTCTCTCTGTAACTGGGTTTAAGTGACTGCTGAAGAATATTCTATAGAAAGGCATGTTTCACTCCTGTCTCAAATGAACTTATGCTTTTCACTTTGGTGTGAGGATGCTGAATGGCCAACGTCTCAGGGACACTGGCATTTTTCTGGGTGGTGGATACTGTCCAACACCAAGGCTGTTTGAAGAGTTCTATGTATCCATGGCTGTGTCTAATGAAACCACACATTAAGCAAGAGGAAGCTGGGGACAAGGCAGAGGGAGCTAAAAGGCACTCACTGAGGACTGGCGGTGACTTCCCCACTCTGCATCTGTTTGATGTCACCTGCCATGATGACTCACATGTTCACCCAAGAGCACAGGAGCCTCGTTTTCCATTGGTTGTCTGCAGCACCTCCTTGACAAGCAACTCACGTACCAAGAATTACCAGGAAGAGAGACAGAGCCTCAGTGCTCTTGCTGGGAAGTGTAAAGACTATGAGACGTGGGAAGCTGAAATATGGGAGGCCTACAAAGGTGTTAGAGACCTGGAAATACTGGCTTTCAGATAAAAGCAGGTTGCAAAATGAATATTTGTCAAATATAATACATTTCTCTCCATCACATTTGAAGTTAATATTTATGTAGGTCAAAATCGTGATTTAACAATTTTGAAGATTTAACTTTTACTTTGTGTGCTTGTATTTTTTTGTCTGCATGTTTGTATATGTATGATGTGTGTCTGGTGCCTGTGGATGCCAGACGAGGATATAGAATCCTCTGGAGCTGGAGTTACAGATGGCTGTGGGCCACTATATGGGTTCTGGGAACCAAACCCAGGTCCTCAAAAGAGCAGTGAGTACTTTTAAGTGGTAGGCTGTCTCTCCAGTCCCTAATTTAAGTTTTTATTATGAGGCCTTTTATTATTTCCAGTTGGTATCTAAGGAAGCAGGCAAAAGATAGTCAGGAACCTATGTTGCACTGTAGAACTCAGAGCTATTCTTGTGCTATTTTGGTTGGGATTGCAGACAGTCTGTATGAAGAAGACTCAGCTTTTGTTTATTGAAGCGTTTCAGTGCTGGGATGAAAGCCAGGATATCACACATGCTTGGCAAGGACTCAACCACTGTGCTACATTCCTAGCTTTATATAGCTATGTATAAGCTTGAGTCAAAGATTTTATATTTCATTCTCTGCGGGGCCATGAGGAGAGTGATGGCTATACTCATGTGTTTTAACATGTAAACACATGGGGTTGTAAACCTTTGGAAAAGATATCTGTAACTCCTATCATGACCTCTCAAACACAGAGGAGCCAGTAAACATCTGATGACTTCTACAGAAGTTCTTCTCTGTCCTCACAGGGGAACAGTGTTTACTATGTCTACAGTCTTTTCCATTCTGTTCATCTACTGAATAAGTATTTCAATGAAAATATTAAGTCTCTTTTATGTGGTAAAAGGCTTATGTTAGGAGCAGGAATTATCAGAGCCCATTTCATTGCATGATTTTATATACTTCTGTGATTTGAGGATCCCTCCCCTCCAAAGTCCACATATAAGGATCTTAATTGCGTACACGAAGGAGAAGACAGGAGAGATATTTCTGAGGTGGGGAGTGTGTGAAGACTCTGTCCATGAATGAATTAATCCCATTATTGTGGGAGCAAGTTCATGATAAAAAGATTCACTGAGCTTCTTTCCAGTAGTCTGCTTCCCCCTCCCCACACCCATCATTCTCCCTGCTATCATGGGATGATGCATAAATAATACCTTTGCCAAATGTAGGTCCTTTAACCCTGGACTTTCCAGGTTTTAGAACTAAATAAAATAGATATTTATGTTATGTTTATAAATGACCTGGTTATCACTTATTGTGCAGAACAAAAGATAACTAAGTCAACCAATCATCATACACACATTTCCAAGAATGTTGAAGACAGTGTAAGACAAGACAATGGTATCCTCTATTATCTGTCCCTCCCCTAAAAGACTATCTAAGAACGAGCTCTGTATGCCTCTCATGGTGGGTGCTTCATTTGGACTCTACTTTTCTGGATAAGGCTCGGCTTTGTTAGAAATGGGCTTGCTCCTTTTGAAGGCAAGGGAATAGATGCAAAGTGTAGAACTCACAGGTGGCAGACAAGAATTCCACGTGGTTGTGTCATCACTGCTGGTACTGATGCTAACATTACAATTGTCCACTTGGGATGCACTCAGGCCATGAGGATCCCCAGTGTCTTCCAGGTCCTCGTTCTGCTGCCGTCGAAGGCTTGCTAGCATCTGCAGCTCACATTCGCTCATCTGGCTGGGCTGATAGTTTCTCCAGTTGTATTCCTGACCAACGGACAGAGAGATGACAAAAGTCATTTGCTTTTGATTTTATGGGCTACCCACAAGTGTGACTGTTGCCCTACCTGCAAGGCTCCCCTTTGATTGAGGCCCAAAAGTACTTCATACTTTTACGAGAGGTTGCCCTCCCTACCTGACCTAATCTTTCTGCTTGCTCCCTTCGTGAAGACAGACTCTCAAAAGCACCTGCTTGTACCGGCCTTAGTTCTCCTCCCATGCTAGTTCCCTCTGGCTGCCCGACTGATGCCACTCCTCCTTGGCAAGGCTGTTCCTGACTGGCAAATGGGGCCACTTCCTCTAAGTGTGTTAGAGAATTCAACAGTCCTGACTTTTAGCATCTGTTCCAATTGTAGTCTTCCCTTGCATCTGCCTAGTTCGTTATGAGCTGTGCCGGTCATTCGCATGACTGCCTGACTCTACCTGGAATCCCACGGTGGAGATTTGTAGGTGCTTAACTGCAGGGCTCAAACTCAAAGCAGCTTTTAATTACATTAATTTATCTATTTACTACTGATGTTTTTTGGAAGAAGTGTTTCCCCATAGCCCACCCTGGCCGGCCTAGAAGTCATAGTAATTCTTTTATTTCAGCCTCTTGAGTGCTGAGGTTGTAGGTGTGAGTCACCACAGCCAACTTAAAAGGATCTTGGGAAAGAGAGACACCCTTTCTAGGCAATGGCTTATAAGGTAATGGATAAATTTCAGTAGCATTGACTACTAATACCAAATATACTCAAATTATAGATACATGGAAGATAATGAATTCAAGGTGGGAAAAGGTGAGGCCTCACAGATATAGTAGACATTTATTGATGAAAAACAGAGAATAGATGGAATCAAGACTATTACTGTAAGTCTCCAGATGCTAACACAAATATTATTTCTTGTTTTATTTTTAGAAATTACATTTTTTTTAGGAGAGACCTGTAGAACTACTCCACTCCCTAGTTTCAGGTCTCAAATACTTGCCCTCCCCCCATGTGCTTGTCTCCAACTTGGGTAGATGTTGACTGCTCAGGCACAGGCCACACCAGTCACAAGAACAGGCGAGTGACCCACCTGCTAGCAGAACTGTCTCACCCCTGAGATTTGGTTTCCAAAGAGCCATTCTACTGCCCCTCTCTAGCCCTACTATTGTCCCCTCCATGTCTGTGTCTCTTGCCTCAACTCGGGCAGACTTCTGCTGCTCTGGAGCAGGCCACTACAGGCAGAAATCTGCTCAGGAGCAGGCCACGACAGTCAGAACACCTGCCCAGGAGCAAGCATGTCAGGCAGAACACCTGCCCAGGAACAGGCCATGGCAGTCAGAAGAAGAGGTACACAACAAGCAAGTCAGAAAAACACATAGGTGATCTCAAGCAGAGGCTTCCTGCTGTATCAGAGACCTCATCGGCCTCCAGGACCACAGATAGGTGGCCTTTCTCTATTCAATCAGTGGCCTTAATCCTCACTCCCTTCCTCCACACCATATCCAACTCCTCAATTGGGGCAGAGACTCCTTGTTATGCCAAAGACAAAGCTAGCCTAGCTGACAGAAGTTCAACCAACCTTAACTTGGACAAAGACTTCCTATTGGATCAGCGGTCATGTCAGCTGACAGAAACCCAGGCCACAAAGACCAGAAGATCAAAGAGGAAGCAGAAACTAAGGAACAAAACATCCATTCAACAAAAACAAACTAGAAATCAACACCTATACCTATAATCATTCCAAACCCAGATGCCTAACCACCACCAGTATAAGAACACAATCAGTAACAGAAAGGGCAATATGGTACCACCAGAGCCCAGCTATCCTATGCCAGGAAGATCTGAATATTTCAATGCAGCTGAAGCACAAGAAATGACCTTAAAATCAACTTAATGAAGAAAATGGCTGTCAACAATAAATTGGAGGAAATCAATAATTTTCTTAAAGAAAGCCAAGAAAAACAAAACAGTTGAAGGAGGCCATTCAAGACCTGAAAATGAAAATAGAAGCAATAAAGAAAACACAAACTAAGGGAATTATGGAAACAGAAAATCAAGGTAAGTGAACAGGAACTACAGACAAAAGCATCACCAACAGAAAACAAGAGATGGAAGAGAGAATCCCAGGCATTGAAGATATGGTAGAAGAAATGGACTCACCAGTCAAAGAAAATATTAAATCTAAAACATTTCTAACACAAAACATCCAGGAAATCTGGGACACAATGAAAAGATCAAATCTAAGAATAATAGGAATAGAAGAAGGAGAATCTCAGTTCAAAGGCCCAGAAAATATTTTTAACAAAGTCAAAAAAAGAATATTTTCCTCACCTAAAGAAGAAAATACCTATACAAATATAAAAAGCATGCAGAACACCAAAATAGATTGGACCAGAAAAGAAAGTTCCCTTGCCACACAATAATCAAAACACTAAATATACAGAACAACAACAAAAAAGAATATTAAAAGTTGCAAGGGAAAATGGCCAAGCAATATACAAAGGTAGAATTATTAGAATTATACCTGACTTCTCAATGTAGACTATTAATAGCCAGAAAGGCCTGGACATATGTTCTGAAGACTCTAAGAGACCACAGATGCCAGCCAAGACTACTATATCCAATAAACTTTCAATTACCATAAATGGAGAGAACAAGATAATTAATGACAAAGTCAAATTTAAACAATATCTACCCATAAATCCATCCCTACAGAAGATGTTAGGAAGAAAAGTCCAATCCAAGGAGGTTAACTACACCCACAAAAAAAAAAAAAAAAAAAACCCACAGGCAATAAATAATCTCACACCAACAAAACTGAAATATGGGAAATTTTTACTCTCTCCTTCCACACACAGTCAGACACACACACTACCACTAACACTACCATCATCAATAAAATAACAGAACACACACACACACACACACACACACACACACACACTATCACCACCACTACCACCAATAAAATAACAGGAATTAACAGTCATTGATCATTAATATCTGTCAAAATCATTAGACTCAATTGACCAATACAAGACACAGACTAACAGAATGGATACAAAAACAGGATCTGCCCTTCTGCTGCATACAAGAAACACACCTCAATATCAAAGACATTATCTCAGAGTAAAGGGTTGAAAAAAGATGTTCTAAGTAAACTGACCCAAGAAGTAAGGTAGTATAGCTATTCTAATATCTAACAATATAGACCTCCAACCAAAATTAGTCAAAAGAGATGGAGGACATTTCATATTCATCAAAGGAAAAATCCACTAAGATGACATTTCAATTCTCAACATTATGTCCCAAACACAAGGGCACCAATATTTTATTAAACAAATATTACTACAGCTTAAATCACATATCAAATGTCACACATTAATAATGGGAAACTTCAATACCCCACTCTCACCAATGGGCAAGTCATCCAGAAAAAACCTAAACTGAGAAATACTGGAGTTAACAGATATTATGAATCAAATAGACCTAACAGATTTCTGCAGAACATCTCACCCAAACACAAAAGAATATACCTTCTTCTCAGCAGTCACATACCTGGTCACAAAGTGTTGCAGAACATTCCTTTACACTGTGAACACATGTCACTGTGATTGGTTTAATAAAGGACTGAATGGCCAATAATTAAGCAGGAAGAGGTTAGGCAGGACTTCTGGGGAAGAAGAAAGGTCAGCTTGCCAGCTAGACTCAGACAAGACATGCAGGAGGAGAGGTAAAAGCAGGATCATGTGGCAACACACAGAGGAATAGAAATGGTTAATTTAAGTTGTAAGAGATAGTGGGAAAAGCCTAAGCTAAGGCTGAGCTTCCATAATTAATAAATCCCCTTGTCATTTTTTTTGTAATCCAGCCACATAAAGCAAGTCTAAATAGAACAAGCAAACTGAAATAATCCCTCATATTCTATCAGGCCACCATGGGTTAAAGCTGGATTTCAATAATGAAATCAACAGAAAGCCTACAAACTCATGGAAAAGGAACAGCTCCCTATTGAATGACTACTGGGTCAAGGAAGAAATAAAGACATTAAAGTCTTCCTAGAATTCAATGAAAAATGAATGCACAAAAACTATTTTTTTATGTGTGTGCATGCATGTGTGTGCATGAGGTACATGTTGAGGTCAGAACAACTAGCAAGAGTTAGTTCTCTCCCTCCACCATAGGGTCATGGAGATCGAACTCAGGTTGTCAGGCTTGGCAGCAAGTGCCTTTACCTACGGAGCCATTTTGGCAGCATATAAATCTTGTACAGGGCAGGAATTAGTATATGAAAGCTTAAACACATTCCCTTTCCTTTTGGCTTAAACTATGGCTAATCTCGACATTACATACAAGGAATGCACTTTGCCCTCAGGTCTAATACCTAACTTAAAAGTAAGTTTGAAGTTTCCTGGCATGTATGGAAATAATGGTTAGTCAAGAGGACCTCCCATGACTCATGACAACTTTCAGATCTTATCACTGAAACCCTTCCTTCCTTGGTTGACCCTTTGAGTTAGCTACTGTCTTTTCTTTCTATTTGCCTCATTAAAAAAATGTAATTCTGAAAACAATTCTTGAAGTTTCTAAGACACCAAATGCTTTCTAATAAGGTATTGTCATCTCCATAATTTGAGTTTTTAAAATATTTGCTATTTGATAGTATGATAAGAGGACTTTTTGGTGTTGGGAACCTCAATTAAATCTCTATGGCTCCAGAAGCCTAGTGCTACAAGAACTCTCTCCCATATATGTAATTACTTTTTAAAGTATCATGTAAATGCTTTGTATGTACTTTGCTATGTATATACTTGGTCAAATTAAAAACTCATATTACAGTGTTCTTACTGGTTTATAAAACATCTTTACACACCAAGGGGAGTATCTCTATGCCATCATTATTACAGACACTTCGTTGGTCACACTCATTATCAAGCTTTTCACGTCACCAGCAGGTATAGAACTGTCTCCTCACGTTATAACTATGTAAAATTTCCACTTCAACACCACCTTTTCATG